ATACAGTAAGTGCCAAATGCCAGTAGAAGTGTGGTTGCTTGGAGTGTACTCGAACTAGTTTGGAAAAAACCCATGAGAGAGAGGAGACTTGAACATTGCTTTAAAGAAGGGGTGGGATTTGCTGCAAGTTGAGTGTGTGTGTCTGTCTTGCTTGTGTTTTTAAGGTAGTGCCTTGGTGTCTGGTCTGGGTGTGGGCGCCGGTAGGGTACGTGCAGGTGGCTGGGCATGTGTGGTATGTTTGGGAGTGAGTCTGTGAGGTGGGCTGTGTGTGTGGTGAGAAGGAGGTGGGAATTCATACTGCAGCAGAAGAGCTTCTGAAAGAGGGCCTTGCTGTTAGGAGGATTTTTCTGGTAACAGTAAGCTGGCTGGATTTAGAAAGGCAAGGCGCTTAGGAAGCTATTATAGTACTTCTGACCTGAACTGAGAAGGGTTGATGACGGTGGGAGTGGGGAAGAAAGCAACTGATTGGACAGAAACCACTAGTGAGAATCGGAGGGGGCTGGGCAAGGCAGAATTCAAGAGGATTCTGTGTTTCTTCTGTGTGGGGCGCAGAGGTCTTCATGGTGTCCTTAATGGATAGTGGGGAAGTCTGGGTTAGGAGTTGGCCGTGAAAGGAAGATAAGAGGTTTAATGTAGGATGTGATAAGCTGTTGGAGCCCTGAAATGAGGTCATATTTGTGGATAGAGGGTTCACCATGTACTCAGTCTTCAAGATCTTGCTCAAGGCCAGTTTCCTCTCTTGTGAGGAGAGAGAGTGATGAGAAAGAGGTGGAGGAGAAAAGAGGGTATGACTGTGGGATTTTTGGCTTGAGAGTTAAGTAGTACTTCTTATTTATAAATATTGCTGTTCAGAATTACCATGTGATACTGTAACATACTAGAAATTCAGCATGCTTGGAATATCATGCTAGTTGTAACTTTCATCTGTATTCCCTAAGATGCTTCCTGAGCATTTGTAAATTTCCACAGTTTTATGTTAATTAATGTTTATATCAACAATTTACACTGATGAGTTAATATTTATATTACTGAATATAGACTTTAAAGTTAATAAAAAGCCTTAAAGACTGCTATTAGTCCTTCATTTGGATGACTTCTCATTTGGAAATAACTGGCAACTGAGCTTCTCTGTTTTTTAAGTAGTTTGTACTTGATGAGGATTATTTCACTCTGCCAGTTTTCTTTCATAGGGTTTTAATAGGTGGTTGGGAGAATTTGTAGGGTGGCTGCAATTTTGAGGAATTGCCTTTCATATAGGTATATTTTTCCTACAGTGTTTGGTAATGCTTCACAAATATGGCCTAAGTAATTCATTATTAAGCATGACAGTATAAACAATGTTTAGTTGCTAGCCTCTCCTTTTCCCTGGTCATTAATTCATATACCCGTAATACTTGTGCCTTTATTATTATTTGAAGTGGCAGATACATAACTGAAAGCAGTTAGCAGTTTAGAAAATGGTTGATATGCTTGAAGACATTATTCAGTCTGTCTATAGGTAGAGCTTGATGCACAAATGGATTCATGGACGTTTTGGTCCATGGATGGGTATTGCATTCGAACCAAGGACTATTTGTTTGAAGAGTAGCAATTTTGTCTGGTTCTGCTTAAAAAGGGTCCAGATTGTACATATTTTATTTTTGCTTTTTATTGTACCAATTAATCGAAGTATGATTCATTGGCTAGAATTTGAAAATCTGTGTTACATGTAAAATTAGACTTGTAAATTAAATTTACTTGAGTATATGACTATATGGTAACTAAAAAGGTATTTAGTAACAGTTTTGTTTTGCTGTACAGTATTAACTCTCACAGCTGATTGCTATTAAAAATCAGTTTATGAATTTTTTGGGGATTTTTGATGCCTGGAAGAAAAATTGTACTTAGTTTCATCTCAATAACGCAAAATCATAGTTGAGCTGATATTATCTTTCTTTACTCTCCAATTCCATTTACTGATTACAACATGTACAAATGGCTGTCTCAGATAATCCTCTCCAATGAATTTTAGTTTTCAGTTACTGAAAAACAGTATTTTGGGGCACCTGGGTGGCTCAGTCGGTTCAGTGTCCGACTTTGGCTCTCAGGTCATGATCTCGCGATTCATGAGTTCGAGCCCCGCATCGAGCTCTGTGCTGACAGCTTGGAGCCTGGAGCCTGCTTCGGATTCTGTGTCTCCCTCTCTCTCTCTGCGCCGCCCCCCCCCCCCCGAAATAAACAAACAAAAAACATTACAAACAGTATTTCTACAAAGTCTAAATTTCCCATAGAGTTGATACTGTATATGTCATTATCTAATATAATGCACTTACCTTAAACTTTCTGGCATGGTTTTGCGATTGCTTAGTTACCTGGGTTTTTGAAGAGGGAGGCTGTTTGCCAGGCATATATGACAATGATTCTTTATTTTTATGGCAGTTTTTTATTTGTTTTTTGTCAGACATGGACATTTAAATGTGTTACGCTGGCACATTAGTCCCGTGAAGATTTGCTAAGATAATGTAAGGTCTCAAGCTGTTCAGTTGAGCCTGCAAACATATAGAAGACAGACTTAACCAAAGCAAGCATGAAATTTTGAATGTGAATATTTTATTTTATTTTTAAATGTTTATTTTTGAGAGAGTGCAAGCGGTGGAGGTGCAGAGATGTGGGGGTCGGGGGTGGGTGCAGAGGATCCAAAGTGGGCCCCTTGCTGATAGCAGAGAGCCCGATGCAGGGCTTGAACTCATGAACTGTGAGATCATGATCTGAGCCAAAGTTGGACACTTAACCGACTGAGCCACCCAGGCACCCCAGAATGTGAATGTTTTAAATGAAATACTGAAATTACTTATGGTAGCCCTGGATATATATTTATTATGTCATTTGTTTGTCACGATAAGTTTTCTCCTTGGTCATTTTATTTTCAAATGGAATGAGCCAAGTTGTTTATATTTCATTCCTGAGAAACTAAAGGAAGAAACTGACTAGTGAATATGAAAATGGCCATTAAATTCGATTGTCCATCTTATGGATGTTCATAAGATAGTTCCTTGCTCTTAACACACTGTGGCCTGGTGTTAGATTGTGTGTAATTAGTGTGTACAACTTAAATGTCAAAATCTAAGCAATATAAATAACCTGGGTTAGGAAAAAAACATAGTTGCTTAAGGCAAAAAAGACTTCAAAGCTAAATATAAGCAATATTTGTTTTTTCCTTTTTCTCATTTACATGTTTATACCACCTTTCTCTCTCAAGTAATAACAAGCAATACGGGTCCGAACTGGCTTATTAGCACTACCAAGTTAATATTAACGATAACATTAGTGCACATACATGCACACTTAAAGGTTTGGAGAAAAATGTCTTTCCCATGTCTGATTTCACTGACTAGCCCGATCAGTTTACTAATTTTATTGCTGCGTTAAACTAAAATGCTAAATACAGTTGTCCATTATTAAAAGAAATGCGTAGGATTAAAATAAAGACTTAAATACTTCTGGATAAAGTAGCAGGCTTCAAGTGAAACTCAGTTTTGGTTTCCTTTACAGGACTAGCTATTCACAGTCACACAGAACTACTTAGCACGCTTTGCCAGTGTCTCCTGAGGAAGTCAGAATCTGAGCCAGCATGAAGACTGAATCTGGTCTTTGGTCTGATTTATAAACTGTACTTTATTCTAACCATGTGCAAGGTGGAGGTTATAGCATGGAAACTAAAACCTTAGTAAGTGATTTTTGTTTTAGCTTTTAAATAATAGCCTTTCTTGTAGTGAATTTGTCCTTTTAACTGAGTTCACGCTATAAATGGGGTGAGGACTTGGCAGACAGAGACACAATACTACACTTACAAAGTGAAAGATTTAGCTTTTCAGGTCAGGGAAAATCCCCGAGAAAGGGAGGCAAAAGCTTCTATTAACTCTGCGTAGGATTTTCACTTTTCTGGTTAAAAATAGGTGGCAGAATGATAATTAGTTTAGGAGGGATTTAAGAAAATGGAGAGTCTGTCTTTAGTAGCCAACGTCTACATTCAAGCCATTTAAAAAAAATCATTGTTAAATTTGCTGTGTAAGTTACTTTATTTATAAATTAGTTGGCATTAAGTCATGCAGTCTACATTTTAGTGTGTTAGTAAGCCCAGTGTACAATCCCAGGAACCTCTTAAATACTGAATATATTTTTAATATGAATTGAGTTTTGAGTGTATCTTAAATATCAAATATTTTGGGTAGGACTATTCAGAATTCTATCGGAGTACGTATGCTACTGGTAGCTGTCTAGGGACGTTCCGTCGGTTTTATTGTCCCAGTCGGTGATGTACAATTTGTATTTTTTTGTGTTCCAGACAACTAGATTTTGAGGATGTTAGGCTGTCACGGGACTTGATCTGTATTTCACGGTGTCACTTTCTGATTGTAAGGATTACTCTTCAGCATTTTTCTTTCTGCCTGTACTTATTAAGAACAGTAGATAGCACTTTTAAGCTGCTTTTCCTTAGCAAAAATGATAAAATTTGTTTGATCTTCTGAATTCTTCAAGGAATCAAACATTATGATACTGTACCTAGATAGCATAAGAATCGATGTCGTTCATAATTTGAGAATGGTTCTGTATTTAAGTTGCTTGGCTTGTGTTCTTTCCTTTCTCTTTGAATCTTAATTTTTGGTTACCTTTCTAAATAGATGGCTTAAATTAAACTTCTGTTAGTGGCTTCTCTGTTTTAACGTGCTTCCCTCTTAAAAAAACGAACCTTCCTTTATTTTCTGCTTATCTCTTTTGCATTCTAAAGTACAATTTCATTAAATCCTGAGGTCTCGGATTTTTCTTTGGAAACTTACCTCTGGTGTCTCTGATGGAAATCAGAAAAATAAGTGTAAGAAATAGTTCAGTATTAAATCTTACATGCATCTTCTGAGAAGTTTATATTTTAGAAGTTGAAGGGTACTTTGGTTTTGGGGCACATTTTCAGAGATGGAATTATGTAGTTACTGTTCTAATAACCATGTCCTAATTATTTATAGCTTCCTGCTTGACATAACTCACTTCAAGAAGAGCACAATGTCAGAACGTGGAATTAAGTGGGCTTGTGAATACTGTACGTACGAAAACTGGCCATCTGCCATCAAGTGTACTATGTGTCGTGCCCAGAGACCAAGTGGAACAATTATCACAGAAGATCCATTTAAAAGCGGTTCAAGTGATGTTGGTAGAGATTGGGATCCTTCCAGCACTGAAGGAGGAAGTAGTCCTTTGATATGTCCAGACTCTAGTGCAAGACCAAGGGTTAAGTCTTCGTACAGCATGGAAAACGCAAATAAATGGTCATGCCACATGTGCACATATTTGAACTGGCCAAGAGCAATCAGATGTACCCAGTGCTTATCCCAGCGTAGGACCAGGAGTCCCACAGAGTCTCCTCAATCCTCAGGATCTGGCTCAAGACCAGTTGCTTTTTCTGTTGATCCTTGCGAGGAATACAATGATAGAAATAAACCGAACACAAGGACCCAGCACTGGACTTGTTCTATTTGCACGTATGAAAACTGGGCCAAGGCTAAAAAGTGTGTTGTTTGCGATCATCCCAGACCTAATAATATTGAAGCAATAGAGTTGGCAGAGACTGATGAGGCTTCTTCAATAATAAATGAGCAAGACAGAACTCGATGGAGGGGCAGCTGCAGCAGTGGTAATAGCCAAAGAAGATCGCCTCCCACTACGAAACGAGACTCTGAAATGAAAATGGATTTTCAGAGGATCGAATTGGCTGGTGCTGTTGGCAGTAAGGAGGAACTTGAAGTGGACTTCAAAAAACTAAAACAAATTAAAAACAGGATGAAAAAGACCGATTGGCTATTCCTCAATGCTTGTGTGGGTAAGTTTCTGCATTTTTTCTGAATGGGATAGGAAGATACTAAAAATGACATGAAAGATATAAGTAGGGTCATTATTATTTAGCATTTCGCTCATTCAGCATGATAGCTATACTCCCAGTATGCATGCATAAGAATCTCTGTATTTTTTGTCTTATTACAACTTTGTCCTAAATTGCCTTCATTTCATTGTGTGTTTTTCCAGCATTAGGGAGAAAAACTTTTAAGTTAAAGCAAAGTTCTTTACACATCAGTAGAGAAAGAATATACCTGGGGTTTAAAACTGCTACTCTATTTATTGTAACAAGATGTGACTGAGGAACACCAGCTGCTGCTTCAGAGTGTTTGTAAACAGTGTGAGCATCTTGTGATGATGGAAGCTTTAGTCAGATGTTAAAAATATCACAAAAATGTGACTCCAAGAAGTTGAACAAACATAGTATTGACCTTGAAAATACCGATGTTAATTTAACATGAATGTCATGTAGTAAATATTTGCAAATTTATGAAACTGAGTTCATGTAGCTAGCTGAATTCCACAGTTCAGATTATGCTTTGTGTGTTTTGTGGTTTTAGTGCTTCCTAAGGAAATTCTGTATTGGTCCCAGTTACCGGCCCAGACCTGTTAAAGGACCAGGACATGATGTGAGAGCAGGGTTTTCTCTGGTTACTAACCTTGTGAGTTAAATAGTCGTGATGTAATTCACAAAAGCAGTTATTGGATTGTCTGTGCTTTTTCTTTTCTTTTTGAGTAGGTTAGCTATTGGCATTTTATGATTTAAATTATTTGGATGGGGTGCTTATTCTGACATTGTGTTTTGTAAAGAAAATTTTTGTAAAGGATTATTTTGAGCGAGAACTCAAGTTAAATATTGCATGGAACAATACCTAAGCCTTAAACATAGCTTAGCTCTGTGTGTATATACGTGTGTGTGTGTGTGTGTGTGTGTGTGTGTGTGTGTGTGTATAAATACACACACACGTATGTGTATGCATATATGTATGTATATATATACGTATTGTGTATGTGTGTATATATACACATATATATGTATGTATATATATATTTTCCCCAGTATGAATTTATCTCTCTAACTATAGCTCCAAGAACATAGAAGACATAACTATATGAACCTGCAAGTCCTAAGAGTAGATTTCAAGAAATCTGAGTTTTTTATTTTAATTTTGCCCTGACAAAAAGAATGTCCCAGGAGATGAGTCCTTCTTAACACCCAAACATAGTAGGAACTTAGTAACTCTTAGTTCCAATTTTCTCCTATTTTGAGCACTAGGGAGGAGAATCCACTGAGCCATTTTAGGCTATCTGTGTTGTCCCATTTCATCCCGTTGATTTTTTTCTTTTCTCCCCAAATTGGGGTACCATAAATGTTATTCTTTTTCTTTTTTTCTTTTTCTTTTTCTTTCTTTTTCTTTTTCTTTTTCTTTTTCTTTTTCTTTTTCCTTTTCTTTCTTTCTTTCTTTCTTTCTTTCTTTCTTTCTTTCTTTCTTTCTTTCTTTCCTTTCTCTTTCTTTCTTTCTTTCTTTCTTTCTTTCTTTCTTTCTTTCTTTCTTTCTTTCATACAAAAGGGTTTTATGTATTTTATTGAGGTCAAAGTCCTATAACCTAAGATTCACTATTTCGAAAGTGAACAAATCAGGCATTTAGTGCATTCACAGTGTTGTGCACCCTCCACCTGTCTGGTTCTGAAACATTTTCATCACCCTAAAAGGAAACCCTGTACCCCTTAAGCAGTTACTTCACATCCCGCCTCCTCCAAGGCCCTGGCAATCACATCTTTCTGTCTCTGGGTTTACCTATTCTGGATATTCCATATAATAGGAATCTTATGTGACCTTTTATATCTAGTTGTGATTGTCTTTAAATTACCTGCATGTCTTTTGAAACAACTCTCAAAATCATTTTTGCCTAGTGGTAGTGTACCATGCATACATTTATTACAAGGTCATGTGGTAGTACACATATGTTTATAGATGGAAATGAAGTACATTGCGACGCTTATTAACCTCTATTGGGGTCATAGAATCCTTCAGAAATCAGAGGTTCATAGTTTTTTCAAGTTAGTGGAACTCAGGATGAGAACTTCTGCTTAGGAATATTTTCTCTTGAAACACATAAATTAGACCAGTCGATTAAACTCTGTGGCTATTACTTCTTGCCTTTAGGATTACTCTGTCTCTCTCTGATGCTGCCTTTTAGTTCTTTCCACATAATCCTTAATGTCTTTTGAGATAACCGTCCTTGTACTTCACATTTTGATAGCTGTGAGTTCATTTTAAAAGTGGAACAAAAACTGCCAGCAGGACCAATATTGTATTTATTTGTTTTTGTTTCGTTTACAGAACAGTTTCTTTGTCATTAAGTCACTGTTCCCACCCACTCCAGAATCTCTAGGGTCTTAGGACCAAGTATTGATTGTATTTGGTTCTTGGTAATGTGCATTGTCTTTCCTATCAACAGATATTTTTGTTCACCATACAATATGGTTCTGAACTGTTGTACTAAAAATTAATGACCCTGTCTTTATTGAGTAGTCCTGTCCTGATTTGTAAACATCACTGAAATATGTTTAAAACTTTTTTTTGTTTACATTGTGTTGGGTTAATTAACAGAAGTCCACATGTACTGAAAATTAATCTTTACCTCCCTTTTTCTGCCTGCCTTATGTTCTCCAGATTTCATCAGATATGGTGTATAATGGCTTGTCCATGTTAGGCATTTAAGAAAATCATCTCTGTGCTCCCTTTGGCAGCACATATAGTGAAACAATCATCTCCAAGGTATATACGCTAATTACAAAATGCTTACTGAGTGTAACATTTATGCTAAGTATAAAATGTGAGACTTTCCCTTTTGAAATTGGAAAAAGTCTCAACTTCTGGCCAGCTTTGTAGCTGGTTAAAATAGGAATGAAGAAGATGCAGTTGTTAAGAAGGCAAAAGTAAACTGAAGTGCCAACAATATTGAGCGAGTTTCTTTTTTACATGACTGTTGAGTGTAAGTTTCACATGAATCATTATTATCTTATGTGGTGAGAGAAGGACGTCGGGGACAGCAATGCAAACAAAACCTGACATCAGTAAAAGTGGAATCTGGGGGTGGGAACCGGGGTGGAAAGGGCAGAGGTGTATTTAAATATGCACTTGTCTCTGGAATGTCTGCAGTTTGGTGCCAGGTATTTTCTGGGAGGTCATGTCAGTGCTAATCATAGACTGCCTTTCCCACTGGATAGATAATGTCCCTCGAGAATAGGGCAGCACTACCTAACGCCGTTTTACTTCTGTTGTAGTGAATTGGTTGCCCCTTGGAAGAATATTTAAATTTGTGGCCCAAGTTGATCCCTTGAAAAGATACGGGATCACATAAGAATCCCAAATTAAATCCGTGTGATAACGTTTTGTATTTCTGAATCCTGGACTCGTACATCCAGCTGTGTATACCACATCTTCTCTTGAAAAGCTAATATTTCAAATTTCTTTCCAACTCAGCGAAGCTGAAACTGAACCGGTCTCTGCATTAAGTGTATTCTTTCACAGTTCTTCTCTCCCCTTTCTAAAAAAATTGTTTTTTATTTTTATTTTGAGAGTGCACTAGCGGGGGGACAGAGAGAGAGAGAGAGAGAGAGAGAGAGAGAGAGAGAGGGAATCCCAAGCAGGCTCTGCTCTGTCAGTGCAGAGCACCTGATGACGAACTGCAAGATCATGGCCTGAACTGAAACCATGAGTGGGACGCTTAACCGACTGAGCCAACCGGTCCCCCTCTCCCTTGATGGCATGTTTATCTTCCCACTGGCTGTGCCAAAAGCCTCCGCCATTCCTGATTCTCCTCTTTTTTCTCTCACTCCTTTCCTTCTTGTCAGAAAATCTTACTGGCTCTGCCTTCGAAATATATCCAGAATCCGACCACTTCTTACTACCCTTGTCCAAACCATGATCCTTGTCCTCTTTTACAAACTATTCTCCACATAGGAGCTTCTCTTAAAACTCTGCTCAGTACTCTTCAGTGATCGCCTGCGTGGCTCACAGTAAAAGTCAGAGTCCCTCAAAGACTCCGCAGGCCGCCCTCAGCTGTGCCCCGCACCTTTCTTCCCCCCACATACATGGTTTCCCTTCTAGCCTTCTATTGCTCTCAGTTTCTCTTTAGCCCATGTGGCCACCTTTCTTCTCTAACAGATGAGCCTCAAGCCTTTGCACTTGCTGTTTCCTCTGTCTGGATTGCTCATTCTCTAGATTGCAGGATTAGTGGATTTGGTCACATATGTTCTTTTCTCATTTGTTACCTTCTCGGTGAGGCCTCTCTGACTGTGTCTAAAATTTCAGCCCTGTCCTCACTCCCTTTCCTCAGCTTTAATTTGCTTTTCAGTTGTCACTTTCCAGTATACTCGGTCACTTTATTATTTGTCTCTTTCTTCCTTAGAATTTAAGCTTTGTGAAGGCCAGGAATTTTTTGTTGTTCACAGCATATCCTTGTACCTAAAACAGTGCCTGGTATATAGCAGGCATTCAGGTATTTGTTAAACCAGTCAGTGAATAAACCCTTCTGGAAACTGGGATCTGAATACATACTTTATGCTCCTTTCCTGAATTTCTGGATTTTTTTGCTTTCTTCCTAGCTTTCTGTATTTTTTTTTACTTTACAGACTACCCCTGGGGCTTGACCCAGTGGGAGCCAACTTGACTTCTCCTTGTCAGAAAAAAGTAGGAAGTTGGTATAATAGAGTCTTACTGTAAGAGGCAGGCCTCAGTTTATCACTAGACAGTCTGTGGATTTGAAAAGTCTGAGGTCATTTCTTTACCTTAAATTCTTCTGTCTTCCTGCCTTCACTGATGAATATTTGACAATTTGATGAATATATGATATAAAGAAAAAAATCATGTGTTTGCTATAAAGTCCTAAAGCAAATTAAATTTTTACTTGTTTTATATTCAGTTGTAGTTGGATCTGTTATTTCTGTTTGGCATTTTGTCTCATGTCTTACACAAT